GCTGTGACATATGCTGTAATGCTACATACTGAAAGCTTGGGGATGGTGAAGAGCGAATATGGTACTTCAACGTTCACTACGGTAAAAAATTGTTTACTGTAGAATGGTACGCTAGGGGTTTACTATATAGGTGTAAACTAACCTTATATATACCTGTAAATAGGTTTAAAGTAGTAGTTTACTTTTATAGTAGGGGTTTAAATTAAGTATAAAAAGTAGTTTTATTTCTATTATACGCTATAATACCTAATTAAGACTAAAAGGGGTAGAAAAGTTTAGCTTCACGCTATACGCATATATAACATAATAATAAGTCATGATATTTTTACTAATAGGAGGTGGTGATAGAGGTGGTGGAGGTGGTGATAGAGGTGGTGATAGAGGTGGTGGTAGAGGTGGTGGTAGAGGTGGTGAAGAAGATTAAAGAAAGGAGGGGTAAAATACTTAAATAGTAGGAAACTAGGTATTACTACGTAATACTAGTAGAGTAATAGAAGTAGAAATAAAAGTAGTTTACTTTTGTGGAATACATAGTATAATAAACCCTATTTAGGTTTACTTCTTCTACCTAAACTACTTCTTAGTCTACTTTAGATAAACATGGCTACTGTAAACCGGTTTTGTACTGTAGTGGTTGGAGTTGGAATATGATAAATCCGGTAATCTGAGTGAATCACACAATCATAACTTAACAACCTCGAGCTATAGTCGTATACTAAAATAACCCACAACCACAAACTCCTCCACAGCATCATTCCTCCATCATCACCATAACTAAGATGCAGACGCATACCACGCATAATACCTCACATGTTACGATTGCTATACAATACAACACCAACAACACGAACCCAACCCCCCAGCCCCCCAACACCCCCCATAAACCCACCCATCAGCCAGGAACATTGCTGTGCACAACCATCATCCTGCGCCATATCCAAACCATATGCCTCGCATCCCGCCCCCGCCAAGCCCCCGCCAAGCCCATCATACTAATCACGCCCCCGATCCCCCAACACCCATTCACACCCAACCCAATATGCCTATCCCTCATCCCCCATCCATCCATCCCCCAAACCCATCCTTTCACACCCATCCCTCCAAGCCCAAAATGGCGTGACATCTCACCACCCCCCACCTCCGCCCAGCATCCCAGCGCAAAGCCAAGACCGCCATGGCCGCCATGGCTGCCAAACAGCTTTATGCGCGGGCGCGATGGGGGGAACGGGGGTGTTGTTTCAGGAGAGGGGTGGGGCGGAGGATGGTTTGAGGTTTGTGGAGAGGTGGGGGGTTTGGGTGGGTATTGTGGAATTGGGTACGTAGAGGGCTGGGGGCTGGGGGAGGCGTGGTGGGTGGAGGGGTCACGTGAGGGGTTGGTTTGGTGGCATGGTGGTATGGTGGTATGGCATGTATGCTGAGGTGTAGACTGCGAGGAGTCAGTAAAATCATCATGTCTTGGGGGTGTTTATTTATTTATTTTGGCGATTTCTGAGGGGGTTTGGTGATGGGCTTAGCCGCTTAGTCTACGCGGTAGATCGCAGCATATCCATGTCCCATGTCTCGACTGAAAATGACGCGTGTTTTTGTTGATCAGGGTGGATGCTGGAAGTCTGACATCAAGTATCTTGGCCTTATGTAACACTTTGAGATCGAATACTTACCACGCTTGCTAACAAGAAGGGAGAGTGATGGGCGTGGGTGTGTCGGGTTTTCAAATGAGCGATGGGGAGGAATTATGGTAGGTAGGGTAGGTAAGGCCTGGTGTCGCGTTATGTCCGCAATTTCTTGCTTACTATCTTATAGCTTACTTCTGTACTACTTACTTAACTATCAGCGAAACAACACTTCGGCTTATAAACCCCATCTGTCAAGGTTCAGCAGTGATGATGTTCAGATCTAGCCTTCACCCATACCGTGTCCCATCTCCCATTCCCACCCACCTCCCCACCAAAACCAAAACCCAAACCCACCACGCAATCCCCTCCCCCATCAACCCATCAAACAATCAAACACAAGCTCCAAGTTCTTTGCTCCTGGCCAGAACAACCCATTAGAGCGCGTGAACGCGTGAGTCGGCGGCAGAAAGGAACAATACAAGAACAACATATTAAACTCACTATAGTTGGTAATATAGTTAGACGTGCGTGGCGGACTTGGACATGTGCTGTGGAATCTTGTACTAGATACTTTGAATGCTGTATTGCTACCTCCTCGTCCATGGCCCATTCTATTGCGCATTGTCGTCTGGACCATCTCCCTCTCCCTCTCCCTCTCCCTCTCCCTCTCCCTCTCCATGTTCGTCTGAGTGTAGGTGTTACGACTGGCCCGCAGAAAGAGGAA